TTACCTATTCAGATTTTTTGACATTGTAACATTATTTTTGACAATTAAACACATGTTACAAACTTAAAATTAAATAAACAAATAAATAAATATTTTATATTTTAGAAAATTTTAATGTAATTTAAATTTTAATTCTTTTATATAGATAGATAGATAGATAGATAGATAATATATAAATAAATATATATTTCATATATTGATTTATTGATTTATTTATTTTTTGTTGTTGAATATATGACCTGGACATTTCTTTTCGTTTTTAGACATTCACCCTGTTCACCATTTTACAGACTTGGACATGTTTCAGAACACAATTTTAAGTGCTGTTGAACATGTTCAATATCTTGTTTTTGTTGTCATGGTTACTTACCCTCTCACCGGGCTCTCCAGCACCACCTGGGTGTCCCGTTGAACCTGGAGGACCGGGGAGACCCTAAAAACAACCCAACGGTACTGTGAGGAACACATATGAAGCCATCACAAACACACAAACACACATGGGTGTTGGTCCGGTGAGGTAAGACTCTAGATCACTGCTGGACTCGTTCCATTGCTCTATTTCTCAAACTCATGTTGTTCTAGTCCCTAAAGAGCCATCAGATCCATCAATGCTCCAGCTGAGAGAAGAGTTGCTTTATAAATAAGTAGGTCAAGAATGAAACTGTAGCAACAAAACAGACATACAGCTGTTTAGCATTGTCAGCTATAGTCACAGGACCTAGAAAACAGATTTCCTAGCAACTCAGCTCAGTTTTCCAACGAATAGTGGTGGTGTGCATTACTATTTTTTATGGTGCAATGTATAGCACAGTCTTTAGGAAGTACAACTCATTTTAGTGAACCAGTTGGTTTGAATCAGTTGACTCAGAGGATTCAATTAAAGTTTCCCAAAAGCAATTATGGACGCAAGTTCTATCATTACCAATAGAGTTCAATGGTCCTTACGACCATAGTTAGCAAACAATCTTTTTGGTAAATGCACCCCTGGTTGGATTGGAAGGTTCATTTTAGCGAATCAGTTCACTCAGTGAATTCAGTTCAGCTAGTTGGTTTGGAAGGTTTGTTTTAGTGAATCAGTTAACTCAGAGGATTCAATTCACCTGACTGGTTTGATAGGTTACTTTTAGCAAATCTATTGACTGAAAGGATTTAATTCAACTTACTGGTTTGGAAGGTTCGTTTTAGCTAATCAGTTGACTCAGAAGATACAGTTCAACGGATTGGTTTGGAAGGTTCATTTTAGCGAATCACTTGATTCAGAGGATTCAATTCAACTGTTTGGTTTGGAAGGTTTGTTTTAACAATCAGTTCATTCAATCAATTTAATTCAGCTGGTTGGTTTAGAAGGTTTGTTTTAGCGAATCAGTTGACTGAGAGGATTCAATTCAACTGGGCCGCGTTTCCCAAAAGCAACTATGTTTGCAATTTCAGTCATTACCAATAGAGTTCAATGGACCAAAGTTAGACCGTGATTTAGAAGGTTCGTTTTAGTGAATCAATTGACTCAAGAGTATTCAATTCAACTGGTTGGTATAGAAGATTTGTTTTAGTGAATCAGTTGACTCAAAGGATTCAATTCAACTGGTTGGTTTAGAAGATTTGTTTTAGTGAATCAGTTGACACAGAGGATTCAATTCAACTGGTTGGATTTGTAAGGAAAGTAGGCTTACTGTGGGACCCTCTGGACCAGATGGGCCTTCGACCAGCATTCCCTACAAGAACAAAAAAAACACAAACGCATTAGAATAACAGCATAAGCACTACTGCAACATCAACATAAGATCTGAAGTGTGAGAGCACCACAGCTTTGGTCAAAATCATTTACATTTCTGTGGACTGTGTATGTGAGATGTGTGCTTGGCCGCGGGTCTCTGTAACGATCATACCAAACAGCAGCATCAGGAAGTCTGTTAAAGCACTGGTGCCTGTTTCTCATGGCTCTGACTGTTTATGAAGCATGTGAGATGATCTTCAGACAGCACAGCTGACTGAATATTCCAGAATTAATCTGATAGTTACAGTTCCACTGCTAAAATTTATTATGTGTATTTTATTCACATCTCATTTTTATTATCTGTGTGTTGTTGTTGTCTCCGTGTACTGGAAGCTTGTGACACTATAACAAATTCCTTGTATGTGCAAACATACTTGGCAATAAAGCTCTTTCTGATTCTGATTCTGAAAATCTGACTGAATGATTGGAATGCCATGCCATCTACTACTGCTATTTTCATGAGGAAAACAGCTTAAAATGTAGCATAATGTGATGAGGGAAAAAATATAGAATGTTTTTGAAGTTTATTTTTATATTTTTAGCATTTATTTTCATTTTAGTTTAGGTTTTAGTAATTTCGTTATGTGGTTTTATCATTTTTATTTATTTATTTTTTTAAAGAAAATATTTCTATATAACTTTAATTGTTTTCTTTTCTGTTTTAGTAATTTTAGTGCTTCAACTTAAACTGAATTTATTTCTAATTCTCTTTGAAGTTTTTAAAGGTGACATTTTTATCTAATATTTATATTTTATTTTATTTTATTTTATTTCAGCTTTATTTCAATAACCGAAATGACTTGTAATAGTTTTACTTTTAGTTTTTTTAGTTTAGTACTGGTTTATTAGTTGTATATAGGTGTTAAATAATTAATAATCAATCATTAATATTGCTAATAAATAATCAATAATTAATATTGTTTTGTGCCAGAATTTTTTTTTTAATTAGACTACATGCCGTAATCTGATATATAGTCATAAATAACTAACTAAATAAATAAATAACGTTTTTTAAGTTAATTTTGAAGTAGCTTTTTTATATTTATATATAGCTTTTTATAATTCAATTATTTTAATTTCTGTTTTAGTCATTTTAGTACTTAAAGTTTATTTATTTCAGTTAGCTGTAACATTAAGTTTTTTTTTGTTTTTTTTATTTAAAGCTTTTTCATCTAATATTTATATTTTACTGTATATTCTTCATATGAATCAACCGAAAGTCCTAGAGGATTTAAAACCATCACTGTCTACTAAATCATACCTCAAAAATATTGGACTCTGGCATAAAGAGGAAAAAGGAGGACTTTCAGCCATTAACAAAAACTTGTGCGTGACGAAACTGTTGTAAAACAGGCAATAAATGGTTGCCAGCATACAGTTATACTAATGAACTATATTAGTTTGTGAAAGAACTGTACATTGTTAGTCACTTTGGATAAAAGTGGCTGCTAAACGCATAAATGTGTTTATTACATACTGTGTTTATTAAACATTCGTGCATAATATTGTCATAGATGAGGTTAAAAAGTAAAAGTTAGAGGGTGTTTTAAACACTGCATATTGTTTAAACATGCACAAGATTTCCATCATTGCACATATGTTAGGGAAAATCGTATTAAAACAGATCAACTGTAACCAAATATACTGCGATCTGTATCAGGGCATACAAGCTGGAAGTCATCAGTCATGATCAATTACTGATCAAAATGTGCTTGCATGAGTTGCGTCATAACCACAACAGTGCAATTAACTCAAAAAGCCTGTGAAGATTGAATTACAGTCACTGAGAGGTCCAGAGCCCAAAGCACAGGATCATTACATATGCAGAGCTCAGCCTCTCTTAAGATCCAGAGAAACGGCATTTGTTTGTCGTAACATCGTGGTCTAATCTGGTGCTTTTTAAAGATGCTGTGGGTCTTAGCTCTGTCCCGAAGGCATCGTCCGAGTGTGCTGTCGTGGCAGTGGGCATGTTCGCTTTGTTTTGGTGCGTTCCTTTGGATGGGTTAAATGCAGAGCACTAATTCCGAGTATGGGTCACCATACTTGGCCACCTTTCACTTCACTTTCACCTTTCACTTCACATCTTGGTCTAATCTGGTGCTTTTAAAGATGCTGTGGGTCTTAGCTCTGTCCCGAAGGCATCGTCCGAGTGTGCTGTCGTGGCAGTGGGCATGTTCGCTTTGTTTTGGTGCGTTCCTTACATGCCAAAAAACACAGAGTGGACACAGTGTGTGTGTGTGTGTGTGTGTGTGAGCAGAAACGAGAGAGAATGTGGGCGCTTCTTTCAGCAAGCGTGTGATTTGAGCATTTTTCTTTCTGCAAACCACATGGTCATCCTTCATTAAAACCAGCTGTCCTGATCTGCATGTTTGTGCTTTTCCTTGACTCTGATCTTCTCATTGACCTGTTCTTTTATCTCTGTAACAGTACCCTGAAAAACTGAAACAACCGTGTCATTTATTTAAAGTGCATTTTTATATTGGTAGAATCGAAAAGTCATGGTTTCTAGTTTAAACCTGTTTTGTTGAGTTTGACTAAAAGCACACCTCCATCAAACTAAAATATAAGATATGAGGGGAGATATCCCGGAAAAAAAAGCTTTTTCTTGCTATTAATTAATTTAATTAATTATTTATTTGGATTTAATGGTAATTATTTATTTTTATGAGATGAAATGGTAGGTATTTTTGTAATGTAGATCAATTTATGGTTTTGTTTATCCTGTAAAATTTGAATTCGCAATGTTGTTTATTTGAGTGTAGAATTTTTATTTTATTTTATTTTATTTTATTTTCACCAGTGTTGAAATGAGTGGTTGGGTTTTATAAAATTTTCTGGTGTTATTTTTTAATTAATTAATTTATTTATTTTTTACATAAGAAAAAATATGATGCATTTTTAAATAGACATCACAATAAACATTAAGGTCTTTGAAGTTGTCTTTATTTATAATAAGTAAACTAAATTAAACACCGAGTAACAAAATGTTTTGTCTCATCTACTTTCATATTAAAAGTAATTTAGCTATTTTTATTGCGAAATTGTTCAAATAAAAAAATATATTATTGTAGATTGACGAAGTAACATTTATGCTTACGTCTAAAGAAAATATGTTAAGTGGTCTTTATAATATATATATATATATATATATATATATATTATATATATAATATGCATAATATATATTTTTTGTTGGTCCAAAGTATCATTTTTTCAGTGTACAGACATCTTAATAGTCCGTAATATGATATGATATGGCCTGATATGACTGTGAAGGTAAGATCTTGTCTCTTTCTCCATCCTGATGTTCATTGATTATAAACCCAGATGTCATTCTCTCCCGCTGAGATCGCAGTGACATCTGTTTGAAGTCTCACAGCTGTTAGACATCAAGAGCCATGCGAGCAGTAGAGACTGTATGCAAGGACAGACGATGATTCCCATCGTGCAAATATAACTGCGTGGTAAACACATCTGCAAATCTGAGACATGGCAGAGTCTGAAACAGGAGTGACTCGCTCCTTTTGAAGTGCAAATGCAAATCAGGAGTGAATCCAGATTAATCCGGAACAGACGACTGATCCAGGTGTCTTTTAAGACGTGTTTTTAAGCTGCCCGAACATGTGCATGAATGCAAAATTGGACGGATGTGAAAGTGAGTGGAAGATGCAATAAATGCAAGACCACACTTGGAAACCTTCCTTGGGTTTGTGTCAATAAAGGGTTGTCAATATGCCAAACCACTTCAGGAAAAAAATCTAAAATGCAAGTAAATGCAGGCTTGGTGAGACCTCTTTCAAAAATATGTTAAATACCGACCCCAAACTTTTACATATGTATCATATAGTAAGTGACACTTACGGGTTCAATGATGGCAGGCTCTCCTTTCTGGCCTTTCTCTCCCCTCAGTCCATCCACCTTTGGAAACACAAACTCAATTGAATTCAATCCAGATCCAGTGTATATCAGTGTAAACGCAATATGGAATAGAACAGTTGCAGGTAATAAATAAAACAAACAATTCTAACCAAAAATAAACTATAGGTCACCCTCATGTCGTTCAAAGCCTGTCTGAAACCCAAAGTGGGGAATTATATTGCAAAGAGTGGGAAGTACTGTACATTCTCCTTTTGTGTTAAACGGGAAGAAAAAGTAAGCCATACAGGTTTGAAACAACTTGAAAAATAGAAAATGATAATTCCTATGAGTTTGCACAGAGGTGGGCGGAGCTAGAGATCACCTGTCCGTAGATCTCGTCGGTCTCTGCGGGCAGCGCTTTGTCGCCATCAGTGTACAGGTCATCATAATCATAAATCTTCTCCAGTTCTGCGTCAGTGTAATCCGTGATGGACTCCTCCTTGAACTTGTCGATATCGATGGAATCTGCCTCTCCACCTATTCCTCCCTGTCCACCGGTGGCAACAGACCCCGCCCCCACGCTGGCCCCAGCGCTGCCGGATCCGCCCCCAGCTGAGCCACTTGAAGAAACAGACCCGCCTCCAACGGAAACAGAACCGCCCCCAACAGATACAGACCCGCCTCCAACAGAAACAGATCCACCCCCTACAGACACTGCTGTCCACCGGTGGCAACAGACCCCGCCCCCACGCTGGCCCCAGCGCTGCCGGATCCGCCCCCAGCTGAGCCACTTGAAGAAACAGACCCGCCTCCAACGGAAACAGAACCGCCCCCAACAGATACAGACCCGCCTCCAACAGAAACAGATCCTCCCCCTACAGACACTGAAGTGCTGCTGCTGCTACCGCCTCCTTCCACGGTATAATCTCCCTCTCCGTATCCTTCTCCATATCCCTCTCCATAGGTCAGATCAAAACCCTCGCCGTACTGGGTATCATCATAACCACCATCAACCTACACATCAGACAAACACAAGGCTTCAGACATCAAAACCATTCATGACTCAATGTTTGTCAAGTCACCTTTATTTATATAGCTCTTTTAACAATACAGATTGTGTCAAAGCAGCTTTACAGTATTAAATAGGCAAATAGCGTGTAATAATGCAAAAGTTTGTGCACTGCGTATACATCTATCTTTTGATTCTCATATGTGTGAATATCACAAAAACAAACAAAAGTAAAACTACTTTTTTATTTTTATGACAAAAAAAGCACATATCGTTTATTTTTAGGATTTTGCCCAGTATTTTCAGTGGTGATTCTCTTTAGATTTGCAATCCTGTAGTACAATATTTTTATAGTCCTAAAACAGGCTTTATTGTCTTTAAACAAAAATTCTGATTATTTTTTATTAAATTTACAGTATATTTGTTTTTATTAATTGAAATTAAATATAACTTGGACATGTTCCTGACGGGCTCTGATGAAAGAGAATGTTGCAGTAATTGGAATAATAAGCAAAACTTAAAAAAACATATTAAAGACATATTAATGACTTAATTCCTGAGTTCAGTAAAATCCACTTTGGTAAAAAGGATATTAATGCACTATTATACTCAACAATGCAGTCATTTCAGTAATAAGAACAACTTGCAAAACATATGAAAGATATTTAAAACATAGTTAAAATATTTTTTAAATATATAATTTTAAAATATAATATTTAATAAAATAAAATAAAAGGTATTATTAAATGTTACCAATAAAATCTATTATATCTGAATTAGACTCGATCCCTGAGTTCAGTAAAAACCACTTCGGTAACAATAAAACGGTAACTAAACTTCAGTAACTTCGGTAACTAAACAATGCAGTAATTGCAATAATAAGAAAAATTGCAAAACACATGAAAGATATTTCAAACATCTAAAATATTTTACAAATATATAATTTTAAAAAATATATATTTAAAAAGTTATTATTAAATGTTACCAATAAAGTCTACTATATCTGAATTTGACTGGATCCCTGAGATCAGTAAAATCCACTTCAGTAAAATAGGATCTTAATACATTATACTAAACACTAAATATTTCTATATGACTGAATTAATTCCCACTTAAAAGTGAAACTGTTTGGGATTACTAGTTCCAACTAAACTCACCGAGGTAGAGCTGGATCTGGAGCTGGAGCTGGAGTCGGAGCCGGTACTGATTCCAGAGCTGGAGCTGGAGCCGGAGCTAGTAATGATTCTGGTGCTAGAGCCGGTGCCGGAGCCGGAGCTGGAAACCGAGCCAGACGTTCCATTGTGAATGACTGTGACAGTTGAGTGCACTCTTCCACTTCCTCCTCCTCCTGATGATGACGACGATGATGATGATGATGATGATGTGATGATCTGCCTGTCCAGGTCTCCTCCCAGTCCCAAATCCACCTCACCACCCAGTCCGATATCCACTTCTCCGCCGGTACCTGTGCCTGTGCTAGTGATGCTGATGGTCCGGGAGCCGTCAGGCCGCGAGGTCGACTCGTCATAGTATGTTTCATATCCGGTCTCATATCCATCGTAGCCGTCGTACGGTTCCTCGCCAGTAGTCGTGGTAGAGCTGGAGGATGAAGAAGAGGAGGACGAGGAGCTACTCGAGGAACTGCTGGAGCCTCCTGTTCCACTAGTGATAACCGACGTAACCACGCGACCGCTATCCGGAACAGACACCTGGTAATCACAGGAAAGAGACACTTCTTTAGAATAAATAGTTGAAAATGAATGATTTGATGAATGCACTGATTTCTTGATTCACTTTCAATTCATCTGATCCCAGTTAGGAATATTTAAGTTACAGACTAATGCTGGGAACTGAACTCTTGATGGTAATTTTGAGCAATAGTCCCGCTCCACATTTTTAATTCATTTAATATATTTTTGCAAATATGCCATATTATAGAAGAAATATAGGTTACGAACATAGTTTAATGTTGAATTTAGAAATCAATATGAAATTTTAATTACTTACTTCACCTAGTCCTAACTGTTATGAATTATTTTGTTATAATTAAATTCCATTTTCGGTAATTAAAAAAGCTGACATAAAGTAATATTAAAATATTAGATAAATATTAGATAAAACATAAAACTGAAAAAAATTAAAATTACAAATGTTGCCTAGGCAACTAACTGAAATAAAATAAGCTGAAGCAGTAAAATTAGTAAAACTCAAACTATAATAAAAATTGTTTTAAAAACTACAACAAAATAAATTATATTATATCAGATATATTTAAAAAAAACAAAAACTAATAAAATTGACAAAAGCACATGATACTAAAACTAAAATTAAAATGTAAACTGAAAATATAAAAATAAAAGCTAATTTAAAAAAATGAATAAATACTACAATAGTACATAAATAGTACTAAAATAAAACTGACCGTTAGGTCTTCAGTTTCGGTTCCAGTCGTTTCATCGGTTGCCGTTTCTTCTGTCTTTTCGGCGTCCATGTCCTCATAGTAGGGATATTCGTAATAGTAGTTGTCATCCTCTGTGTTCTGAAGAGAAATGTAGAAACTAAGTGTTATTATATGTTAAAATACTGTATTATCACAAGTGTTCCAGAAAAAAAATCTATGGTACCTTACAATTAGTTTGTGTTGGCATGCATTTAGTCATTTTCATCTTTCTTAGTTCTTTTGTAAGTGCATATGGGTAGTTGACAATGTTCCATGTACTCACATGGAATGAGATCATACACAGTGCATGCATAATAACTATGTTAGCAAAATGCTGTTTAAACTTGTTTCAGATGGAATACAGCACATCCCACCACATATAAAGCTGCACATGGATCCATTCTGGCAATGAGCAATACATAAAAACTAATGAGTTCTGAGCCTGCGGACATGAACATGAGTTGAGCAGAGTCTCTTAAGAGTCTTTCAAGCACAGACATCTCGTAATTATGGTAATTATGACATAGCATATGTCATGAACGCAACATATGTTAAGTATTTGTGTAAGTATTTATAAATGAATATATATTATAAAAAAGAATTATAGCAAAATATAGCAAACTATTTAGCAAAATATTTGACACTTTAAAGGACATAATATGTAGAATATTTTTATTTTACTTTATTATTTATTATATTTATATAAATATTTACAATTTGAAAGAAATATATATGGTGTTTGTTCATTCAGACAGGATTTCATACTCTCATTCATGAGTTATACTCACAGCATGTTAATTAAACAATTCAAGCAGCAGTCTTGATTTAATAGACTCAAATTCTCTGAGAAGATAGAGCAAAGGAAAGGAGGGATTCCCTCCGACTGAGTCCAGCAGAAATCCATGTTCTCTCTTATCTAGCAAATAAAAGAGAAGAACGCAAGGAATTCCAACCGCTCACCGACCTCTCGCTCGGATTCACCGTTCTGCCTCTCTCTCCCTAATTCCCACACATTAGCAATGGATAACTCATCACGTTTTCATCTGTAAAGAGGTTTCGCTGATATTTAAATGGCAGACTCTGCTTTTCAAGGACTGGTCAAAGGTGCAGCGGGTTTTCTTTCATATTGCCTCCTACTAATACCCCACACTCAGATTTACAGCTCCTGACACACACAAAACTGAAAAAGGTGAACGTGAAGTCAGCAGAGGGTCGTTTCTGTGCCAACATGCTGACATCAAAGCCCTGAAAGATGTAAAAGTCCATGCATGGCTGAAAACGCACCACATGCTGCAGTCACGTGCATATCATTTCGTTTTACAGGCATAGCTCAGAGAAACTTTACCATATGTTGGCCACAACAGTTTTCCGATAGAAAGCTTTTTATGAATATTACTGACAGCTGTGTTTTAATTTTTCAATTCTTGCTCATTTTTTGTTAATTTATGTTATTGAATATCAAATGGTAAAGCATGACGCTAGCAATAGCAAGGTCATGGGTTTGAGTTAGAGTTGGAAAAACATTTCCAAATGCAGTCAAATACACATTTAATTGAATGCAATTAAATAGACATTTGTGAACCCAGCCTGAATATGCTGGAATTAAATATTCCAATATATAACTGTGCGATTTAAGGCAAGACACTACAGGTGAACAGGGTACAATATTTAACTGACAGACTTCACCATACTTTCCCAGCTGACTGATTACATCAAGAATAGCTAATTCTTATAACTTTTCTGAAAAGTTATCTTTAAATACGCACGAGGCATTATCGAATTAAAAATTAAATTAAATGTATGCACTAATTTGCATAAATCAGGTTCATTCTGTTTCATATTAGAGTTTAAGTTTTTACAGAGGGGATTTTTTTATATCTATTTTATTACTCCATAAGTTAGAAAATACTGCCAAAAGCCAGACATTTTCACCCTTTTTACCATGTTTTCAGCAATAAAATGTTGTGTACAACCAGCCGAATGATATATGAACAAACCCCTCAGTAAAATCCTTCAGAATACAGATAGGAATAAAACTGTAAAGTTTGGTGTATGCAAGTGCTGCTGAGGTGGGGAAAAAACTCACAGGCTTAAAAAATATGCATTTTTACCATGTTTTTAGGAATAAATGTATAAAATCAGGCAAATGATATATGAACAAATCCCTCAGTAAAAACCTTCAGAATACAGATAGGAATAAAACTGTAAATTTTGGTGCCTGCAGGTGCTCCTGAAGTGTAGAAAAAAACTCACTGCCTTTAAAGATACGCATTTTCACAATGTTTTTTTAAAAATAAAATGTTGTATAAATCCAGGCAAATAATATATGAACAAACCCTTCAGTAAAAACATTAAGACTATGGTTAGGAATAAAACTGTAAATTTTGGTGCATGCAAGTGCTGCTGAAGTGGAGAAAAAACTCACAGCCTTTAAAAATATGCATTTTCACCATGTTTTTAGGAATAAAATGTTATGTAAAATAAGGCAAATTATATATGAACATATCCTTCAGTAAAAAACTTAAGAATATAGAAAGGAATAAAACTGTAAAGTTTGGTGTATGTAAGTGCTGCTGAATGGAGAAAAACTGTTTAAGAACTTTTATATTTTGAGAAAACGACCTTTAAAGTTATGTACTGTAAGTGATATCTAAAAGACACAAATAGATAAAGTGCAATAAAACAAAAACTTAAAAGTATTTTGAATGTTTTCTTTCCACTAGTCTGAAACAGCACATCATGAAAAATCTGAAAATTGACCAGTGCCTGAAAAACAAAGTTTTTGCCTATAAACCGCAAACTTTGAATCCACCAGAAACTCCAGCACTATTAACAAAGAGTTTTACTTGTCACATAAATATAAAGTGTGATTTTGCACCTGTCATTTGCATTAAATTCAGCATTTCTCCACTTTTTGACATTCTAGCCATTCGTTTTGCCCCGTGGTCAATCCCACAATTCCCTTGAGCCCGCCTTTTGCTCAGCTCCCATAGAGAATCAATTGAAAATGGTTGGCCATCTCTGTGTTATTCAGCTTAAATTATTTTCTCATCTGTTTCACATGCTAAATCTCTCAATCTTTCATTTAATGCCTTCTCTTCCTTTCTCCATAGCGCTCAGAGGATATTGGAATCTGAGTGAACCCAGATGGACGGAGACTGAATATGAACACTCAATTGACCCCATGAAATAAAAAATTGGACTTTTGTGGTTTTTAGTCCATATCTGCTCATCTTTATGTTGTTATACTCATTTTACACATTTTATATGTATAATAGTTCTACAATAAAGACTTTATTAGTGACAAAATAATTACTTTTCTTTAAATTCTTTACATTATTAACATACACATTTGTTAACCCAGCCTGAATTAACTGGAATTAAATATAGTAATATATATATGTGATTTAAGCATCAAAGCCACAAGAAAAGCATTAATGGCTAATTTTGAAATCTTATCTTGTCACATAAATGTGAAATATGATTTTTCTCCTCATATTTCTAACAGAAAGACATGAATATGAATTTTCTTGGCCGATTCCGATTTCCAATTTTTTTGTTAGTGTGATCTGCCGATACCGATTTTTGCCGATTCCGATTTTCTTTCTAAGAACTATAATTGACAGCATATACAAACAAAAATCTACTTTTCTTCAACGCAAAGTTTTATTTTCATAAAAAAACAAGTAAAAAGTCAGTAATAAAATAAGAACACAAAAAAATTGCAAACAACAGCACAAATAAATGCAATAGAATAAAGAGAGCTATGAAACTAAGTTTTTCAGGTTAAGTAAGTTTTCACTTGGCCACATAAATGTGTCGTCGCAAAACGGATATAAATCCGATCTTGTGTGTTGAACGTCTGATTCTTACTTTCAGTTTCATTCGCGGCAGTTTGTGCATCGGATTGCTGCAGAGATACTCAGCTACTCGTCCGCAGCGATGCGTGTTGCATTAGCGCAGTCGGACTAATGTCATATAGCCTATAACACGCTCTCACACGTTTATTATTTTATAATTTTGGGAGGATTAAAATTTACATATGTGGTTTCAACAACCAGATGCATTTACACTTGTCGAGTTTCGTCTGGAATGCGGCCCAGACCACCTCCTGAAGTGGTTTGAGCGATCAGATTTATATCCGCCTCGAATGCGTTTCGGAGGGCATTTACACCTGGTCTTTTCACTATCGGATTTACTGCTGATCACAGAACCGTGCTTCACTGAAAGATACACATGACAATTGC